AATGTAAATTTGGTTCTCAAGCATTTCTAGCTCAGCTCACCTAAGTTCTCCCCTTTAATCACTCCCCCGACAAAGAGAAGACATTTGTTTTCTGCTACAAAGGAGGAAGCCACGGTCACACCTTCCCTTTGCTTGAGCACAGCCATTTGTCTCCAATCTGAAATGTGGAATATGCTTACGGCACACATCCTTGGACTATCGGTGGGACACCCACAGTCCACAGGAAGGACAGCTATAAGATGCCTGCAGAGCATCTGGGAGACACCTACCTAAGGTGCGGAGGAAGGAGAAGGAAGGAATAATTCATTAAGGATGCAGGGCCACAATGGGGAGGACAGATGCTGTGCATTCTAGCAGAGGGTGGAGGAGGATGCTTTTTCAGGTGTGCCTGACTCTCCATGGCCCCATTTGGGGTTTTCTTGGTAGAGATATTGGGGTGGTTTGCCATTTCCTTCTCTGGCTCATTTTACAGATGAGGAAACTGAGGCAAACAGGGTGAAGTGACTTGCTAGGAAGGGTATGAGGCCAGATTTGAGCTTGGGAAGATAAGTCTTCCTGACTTCAGGCCCGGCACTCTGTGCACTATGGCACCACCTAGCTGCCCAAAGGGCAGCAGAAGAGATTTGCTATCTTGGGTGCTGACCCACAGTCCCAGCCACTTTCTTGCAGAGGGCACAGCCAGCGTTTGAGAAGCAGAGCTCTGTAGCTAAATGTCTTTGCAGCTGAACCAAAGTATCTCAGAGCTGGGATTGTTCCCCTCAAGCTTCTCCCCTGTCTCATCCCTGCAGACAACTTGTCCATCTTACCCATGAGAGATCTCAATGAGAACTAGCCACGAGCATCTGCTGATCTGTTTCAGCATTTAGCTGGAGGAGGAGTCCACGGGACGCCCTAGCCAGCATTTCCGCAGCGCTTTAAGATCAGTCAAGCACTTCACACGGTATCTTATTTGATCCTCATCACACCTGTTGAGGTTGCCGCTGTCATCTCCTTTCTTTTACAAATGCAGAGACTGAGGCTGAAAGAGATCAAGTGTCTGAAGCTGGATTTGTACTCAGGTTTTCCTGACTTCAAGTCCAGCAATCTATTCATTACAGCCCCTCACTGCCCCAATAATGTAGTAGGAAAAGTATGACTCAGTTACTTTTTGGCTTCCTGATCATCTGGGAGCTCTTTGCTTTTCTGAGCTGCTTCAGTCCCTTTACCTCTAAAGTGGGGGAGGACTGGCCTGGAAGATCTCCAGAGTACCCTGTGTCTCTGAGCTTCTGGGGTGCACCATGCAGCTTGTATGCCCTGTTCCCCACATTTCTGCTGGTGCATCACCCATGAATGGTCATGTCTCTTACTAGAGTCATCATGGCTTGTTCTTTCTGCTTTGGGTCCTAGAGCCCTGGACCCTGTGGCCTGTCCCATGACCTGGGGACCTGTGTGTCCTCTCTGTGGCTTCCCATGACACAAAAGCAGTTGGACAGGGGGTGAGACCCATGTTTAGGAGAGCCATGATTCTGGTCAGATCAGTGTGAATAGAAATGCCACACCTAGGCATGGAGTGTCTTTTTGGCCAAGCCTTTTTGATCCTCAGCCAAGATATAATTGTCTTGTGAGAGTTTATAGATTTTTTTTTGTGGCTAATACAAACAGTCAGTGTTTTGTAAAATATATATAAAGATGTAATTGGCCTTCATTCAGAAGAGTCTATGGTGTCCTCATCTTTTGGTAGCATATGAATCAGTCAGTCAGGTAACATTTATCAAGTTCCTACTATGTGCCAAGCACTGTGTAGACACTGCAGATACAAGTAAAAAGAATGAAACCATCCCTCCTTTCAAGTAGTACATGAGTGATACTTTGTGTAAAGAAAGGTAGCATCTGGCTTGTGTCACCGGGAAAGCTGGCCAGTTCTTGGCTTCATTCACACAACACTGTCTGTAGTCATGCCAAAAAGTGTAGGTCTTCTCTCTTCTGGCCACTTTCCAGTTTTGCAGAGAAGCTAATGATCAGTCTAACCCTAACCCTTAGTGTGTCTGTTGGGTCATTCATTCTATTAACAGCAAAAAATATATTGAGTCCATCTTGGGCTTTTGTTCCCATAGCCTGGCAGCAGCCATAGAGATGGACAGGAATTTTCCATATCTGTCTTTTCCATTGGTTCTCTCATCTCTGAAAGCTTTGTTTCTTAAGCCTATATACTAAAGGTTTTGATTGAGGCTGATTTTTTTTAATTGTGTTCCTTGTATAACATTGACTTTTTGCATTGCCATAAGCTTTGACTTTTTCTGGACGGAATCTTGAGTTTGTCATACTCTTTTATTTTCCAGGATCTATTCTACATCTTCCATGTTGATTGCCTTTACTTAGATAATGTGGAATTCAGGTTTTCTATTGTAGATACCAGCTAGATGTTAATGTAATCTTCTAAACCCTTCCCACAAGTCTTCAACAGCTTTCTCAAGTTACTACTGCCGTGATGTGGTTTTGGACACCAGTCTTTAGAAGTATTGGTGCATTTTCCTTTCCTCCTATGGCCTTTACTGTGGGAATGGTTCCCACATGGACTGTTATATATAGATTTGGAAATGTTTTTATATTATCTGTAAAGTATTATAGAAGAATTTTATATTTAGAGCATGTATCCATGTGGTGCTCATTGTGTTGTGTGGTATGAGGTCATAGTATAAACCTAATTTCTGCCATATTGTTTTCCAGTTTTTCCAGCATTTTTCATCACATATTGATCCTTACCCCACTGTTTGATTTTCTTGAGCTAATTAAAGACTACAAAAACTATGTTCTGTTATTCCTGTGTCTTATATAGAAAATCTGATTCACTAATCAGTAGGTAGATGATAAATAGATATTATCAAGAAATAGATACTTGTACTAGATAAAGATGCAAATATAGGTATATACACAGATATAGATACTGATGTAGAAAGAGAGAGAGAGAGAGAGAGAGAGAGCACCAAATAGTATAATACTATAGTTTGGGATCTAGTACTACTCAGGCCCCTTCCTGATTTTTTCCAATGTTCCCCCCTGCGATTGTTAACTTTTTCTTCTTCAAGACATATTTTACTGTTATTTATTCTAGCTTTACAAAGTAATACCTTAGTAGTTTGGCACTCAATAAGCAGATTAATATTCATAATATAGTCACTTTTATTATATTGTCATGGCCTGCCTATAACTACTTAATACCTTCTCAGTTACATAAGCCTGTCTTGCTTTCAGTAGATTGTCTTGTAGATAAATTCCTGTAGTTGCTATGTGGCCTGGAAGATAGATTCATCCCTCTCATTTTGGAGGGGGTGGTTGGTCCCTGTGACTCAGCCACCACTTTCTCTGCAGAGTGGTGGTATTGAGGAGGTATAGACAAAACTGGTTAGCCAGCTTTCCTAGGTTCTAAGCCTGAGAGTAAAGAGTGCAGAACTACAGAAGACCTCCAATGTTTGTGTTTGGTTTTCTTTTTACATTTGTGACTCTGTCATTTGGAAGCTGTTAGTGGGGGTTCCTTTGTTCCATCTTGAAGGGGGAAGAGTCCTGGTGAAGTTAGGGCAGACCCATGTGGCCAGAAGGAAAATCCCATTAATTGCTTCATTGCCAAAAATGTTGACTCACTTCCTGGAGACGCAGTTCAACTGCAGCAGATGGAAACCATTAGCCAGGGACACTGATGAATTCAAAACTCCTCTTGAGATGGGACCACTGACGCAGGCAATGTTTTCTCACTGAGCTGGGTGAACATGTCATCTGGAACGGACGGTGAGAGGCAGTGCAGGGCTGGGAATGGCAAGCAGAGGCCTTGAGTGACAATCCAGGCTCTGTCATTCACTGCCTCTGTTTCCTTGGGCCAGCCCCTTCCTTTTTCTGGACCTCAACTGGTTCCTCTGTCAAAAGAAAAAAACACCTAAGACTGCCTGCTTTAGTCTATGGTTGGGTGGTATGGTGGAGAGCGCCCTGCATATGAAATGAGAAAGACCTAGGGTCAGGTCCTGCCTTAGATACTAGTTCGGCGATACTGGGCAAGTAACTTCATCTCTCTGGGAGGGGGTAGGATTCAATGGCCTTTCCATTCCCTTTTAGCTCAAAACCTATCTTCTCTCCCTACCTTCTCCTCTAAGAGTCTCCAGCTTCCTGATCTCTTCTGTGTCTCTCCCTCTATCTGTGTCTGTGTCTGTCTCTGCGTGTCTCTGTCTGTCTCTTCTACTTGGAATTATCTTATTGCCTTATCTGTATCTTTTATTGTCTTGTCTACATGCCTGTTATCTCTCTAGAAGAATAAGGGTAAAGATTGCTCCATCTGTGCCTCAGTATCCCCAGGACCTAGCACAGGTCCAGATCCATGGCAGGCACTTAATAAAGGTTTGTAGAAATTGATTGAATAATAAATCCTTCTTGCCTACACACTTAGGAAATCCTATTTATTTGTAGTTCATGAAGTGGATGCCTACCAGCACACCACACTTCCTTTTGTTAACCAGTCCAATGAAAACCTGGCATAAGGTGAAACAGCATTCCAGGGGACATTGAGCATCAGAGAAACAGGGCTGGATGGGAAGGAGGGAAACTGTTGTATGGGTGATAGTGGCAAGGGACTCTCAAGGAAGCCAGAAGCCAATGGGAACAGAACTTCTCAGGAAAGAATCAGGGAACAGGAGACAGAGCCCTGTCAGACTGGGAAGTCTGACCAAGAGGGGAGTGAGAACCTGGGATTCCCTGACAATGGACGAGGGGTGAGGGTTCAGGAAATTATGGTGTCAATAATATCTTAATAACCTTTCTCACCTGGAACATGGGAATAATACTAGAATATGTGGCCCACCTGCAACCCAGAGTGATCCTGAGGAAAAAGGTTGGCCAACCTTAACAGGTTCTAGAAATAGGAATTTGTTTTGGAACCCTGACTTGATGTGTGGTATCCCCTGGTCTTATTGTGTTGATACTTGTAGTAGATTTTATTCTTCCTTCCCAGTGACATGGTTTTAATTGTTGTTTTTCAGGCCACACCCAGTGCTTTGGAGAGGGGGAAAGCTGGTAAGTAACCACTTGGTGGCTGTTTATCTCTCTATGGTAACTGATTTTTCCACCTTAAATGGGGACATTCTAGGAGATGTCTAACATTTTCAGATCTGCCTGAGTTCAGGTCAAATAGAATGCAATTTCTTTTCTTTTAACTGTCTTTCTGGGAAGGTGAATGAATATGGAGAAATCTCTGAATCCTCTGCTGATGTGTAGACAGACATGGTTGGCTTGTGTACTTACAGCAACATGAAGTACTGTTCTGGAAGTCGAAAATTCTATGTGGAACAGTTTGTTCATTGTCTTTGGAAATTGGTGATTACTACTAGCTATGGTATGAGCTTTTTCTGTGACAGTCCAAGAAGCTCTCACAATCTTAAACTGTGCAGCTAAGGCAGGCAGAGTGTTCAGAGCCAGTGAGGTGGACGCTGTCCCATAACTCTCTGAATTGGTCAGGTCACATTGCTGGGGTCAGGTCACATCTAGAGCACCCACTGAGGTTAGGTCGCATCTAGAGTGCCCGCTGGGGTAATCTCTGGGAGCCATATGGAGAAAGAATGAGGTCCCTGGGACAATGGGAGTGCAGGAAAGGTGAGAAGTTTCGAGACTACGCCTCATGGGGATCATTTGAAAGAACTAGGAATATTGAGTGTTAAAAAAGAACTCGGGGACAAGAGGAGAGCTGTCTTCAAAGATTCAAAGGGCCCTCAGAGGAGCAAGAGCAGAGGGGTGAGCTGCAAACTTCCTCACATCCAAGTTGTACCATCACAGAATCAGCTGCTTCATAAGGTGGTGAGGTCCACTAATGGTCTTCATGAGAAGAGCACGTGGTGTTTGTCAGGGATCTCCTAGCTGACATCTGTGCTTCAGAACAGGGTTGAGTTGGTCGCTCTCCTCAGCCCCTCCTGGCTCTGCAGTTTGATAACTGAGTGACGGATAAAGAGTTTCTAGACCACTCTGGCATTTCCACTGATAACCACACAAATTCTTTCAGCACCACAATGACACCAACATGGTGATCATTTTTTCACTTGTAATAGATATGTAATACCCTTCTATAATCATTCACTTGTTTTAAAGCCTAGAGGACTAGCTTCAGATCCATTTAGTAGGCCCCTCTCCTGCAGCTTTAGAGAACTGATTTTAGATAAAAAGTTTGTTGTTCAGTTGCGTCTGACTCTTTGTGATTTTATTTGGGTTTTTTTTTTGGCAGAAATACTAGAATGGTTTGCCATTTCCTTCTACAGTTCATTTTACAGATGAGGAAACTGAGGCAGAGTTAAGTAAGTTGCCCAGGTCACACAGCTAGTAAGTGTCTGAGGATGGATTTGAACTCAGGTCTTCCTGACTTCAGGCACAGCAGGCTATCCACTGTGCCAGCTAGCTACCTCTAATGAAAAGTTCGAAATACTATTACTATAACTTTGGGCCCCCAGTTATGAAAATTCCTACTGTTTATGGAGAGGTTTAGCTCTCTGCCTTAATTTACATTTGTATCCCTCTCTAGTTAATCCTTGGCCTCTTTGTGGTGGGTACAAAATTCAGGTTACTAGAAATATTTGGGGAATGGGGAAGGAACAGAACCTTTCTCAGAATATCCGTCAGTCCTTGAGGAGGTGGGCATAACTGGTGACATCAGCCGGAGTCTTCTGCTCTGAGATGCCCATAGGGTCTATGTCCCTCTTCAGCATCACTCTTCTCTGCCCCAGTTCAGTTCTACATGCTCTTTCTCCTTTCGGTGAATGGTGGTCCTTTCTGGCTCAACTCTGGGTATCCCCCAGACTCACTCCATTCCTATAATCTCTCCTCTGACAGATTCTTGAATCTTCTGAAGTTCTGAACTGGTCTTCTATTTTATAGACAGCCTACAGAGTGTGACCACGTTTCCTTAACCAATCAGAACATTTACATTCAACATCACCCAGCTCAAATAAGGACTTTCCTAACTTAATACAAGTATTTGACTATCTGGTTCTCCCCTCTCAGTATAATTGGTTGTGACGTCTATCACTTCTTTTAAGTGGGGGGTGGGATAATCAATGGACTACTGTCCTTTATACGTATATGCATGTGTGTGTATGTGTGTGTATGTATGTGTATATATATATATATATATATATATATATATACATATATATATAATATATACTTATATAATAATATATTATATGTAATGTATTATACTATATTATATATACACATATATAATTTTATATATATATATATATATATATATATATAAAATCCAATTCACTTGTGAGTCAAGACATTACCCTCCTGATATCATGGGTCCTCTTCCAGAATGAAGGACAAACAACAATAGCTATTATGGTAGGGTAATATATAACCTATGTGGAAGGTGGTTACTGAAGTAGGGCAACTCCACGTGTGGCACTGAATTGGGAGGGGCAATGTAAGAACCCAAGAGAAAGCACATGAGCTGCACCCCTTTCCTCTTTGTCTTCATCCTGGGCTTCTGGCTCAACAGTAAGCTAGGGGAAAATGTTGGCTTCACATTATAAATTTCTTTCCTTTCTTTTTCTCCTTCATATCACCTTAGCCTGGCTTAGAACGTTGTTGCAGACAGCTACAGGGGATTGGGCCCATTTTTCAGCTGTTTCCCACACTAGTTCCTGCCTCTTTCCGTAATGGGCACTGCACGAACCTACCATGTTATTCTTGCTTGGGTTCCCAATTTCCATTGCCCACCCAACAACACACAAAGGTTAGCAACCGCTGACACATTTTATGTCACATGAGTTTAAATGGTGGCAAAGGGAAGGACAGAAGTCCCAAGAAGAAAGGACAACTAGGGTGGATATATTCCCTCACAGAGAAGACTCCAAAGGAGTCAGGTAATTTATCAGCATCTGCCCTTGCCCAGGCTTAGTGCCATGAGAAGAAGAATCTGTCTGTAAGGGCAGCAGGGGTCATATCACCCAAATGGACCCACCAGGGCACTGCTTACTGGTCAGTCATACTGGCCACAGCTGCATTGCTAAGCAGGGTGGCTGCTGCTGGGCCAGCACCTGCCACTTCTTTCAGAGTCTTTGAAGGAGAGAACAGAAGCACAGGTGTACACAATGTGTAGCTCTTGACCTTGCAAAAGTGCACATGACCTCAAGATAGAGGCAGCCCAAACTTGAATCCAGGGGTCATGTCTTCTTTACGATCTGCCCCAGGCCACTGCAGGCCAGGACTTCAGCTACTGGTGAGGTCCTGGGAGAGTTGTGCCTCTATCCGCAGTGGCTTGGAGGCAGGGTCACACTGAAGGCTTCAGACAGCCATCTAAGGGGATTCCAGGAACCTCAGCTGCCTTTGAGATGGAGGAAGGAATCTCTTCCTCCAGAGAGCTTTCCTAGGGAGGGAGTTTTCCTTCTACCTCACTAATCTCCTTTTGCATCTAATTGGCACTTTTGATGTGTAAGACATACTGCACTTGGATGTTGGGGGTGTCCCCTTGACCCATATTTCCTCTCATTTTTGGGTATGGTCCCTTTTCTTCCATCCTGTATATTGAAGGGAAACACTAGAAGATTCAAGAGGAAATGGTCCCTCCTTGAATGGGATCAGTGGTTCTGTACAGCTTTTCCAGTAAAGTACATGACAATGATCATTCTTGTTGTGCTCCTAAATGACTTTATGCCACAGATGTGACTGTCACTCACTAGGAGACCACACAAGAGTGGCTGCTCTCCCTCTACCGGATGGGGAGCTGAATGTTGACTGTGGCCCAGGAGTCACTATGAGGCTGACCAAGGACTGGTGTGGCTCTTACTCCACAGACCCTGACACCACTACCCCCACCGCCTTCTGGTTTTCCCAGATTCTGATTCTGGCTTTCCCAGAATCATCAGGGAGGTTGGGGCCATTGAATCCAACCCCTTCATTTTGCAGATGAGGAAGTAAGGCACGGAGATGAGCTGACTCACCCAGGATCACATGGCTAGGAAGTGTCTAAGGCAGAGTTGAGCCTGGACCCTGCTGACCTCCAATGCCAGAACTCCATCTGCTCAGGCACTTTGATGCCTTGTTAAGACTTGCATAGTAAGAATCTCACTTTAGAAAGACCTGTGGGACAGGGAATGAGTCAATGGGACAGAAGCTCCCCAGGGAAGGGACTGCTTTTGGTCCCCAGTACCCACTTAGGGCTTAACCCATAAGAACTGCTTCCTAGCCATGATTGGATTGGAAGGACATCCCAGGCTCCCGCTTTTCCCTTCCCAGACAGCTGTGCTTTAGCCAAGGGAGACACATCCCTTTGATGCAGTTTCTTAGAAGACATATGGGCTGTTGCTATTTGCCCCAACCACCACAGTCCCTTTTATCCACAACAAGAACAGAGGGTGATATCAGTGGCACTGAAAATTATCTGGAAGTTTCTATTTTGACCCATTGACTGTAGTAGTTCAGCTCATTAAGATAACCTAAGGAAAAGACAGACTTGCCAATGTAATATTATGTGCCCACATGTAAGATTATTGTGTGTGGCAAGGGGGAGGAGGAATGTCTAAATAGGTACATGTAGAAACACATAGCTCATAGGTGGCATGGAAAGATTTAGTCTCTGAGTTCTGAGCCAGTCAGCAGACTGAGAGGAAGCCTAGGTCCAGAAGAGGGGCAGGCAGAGCCAGCAGCAGCACCCAGTCTGGGCACCCTTTCCTCCAATCCCCAATATGGGTAGAGTACTAGAATTATGTTTAGCAGGTACCCCTCACAAAAGGGACCATTACAAATAGTGAGTAAACAAATATATCGAGAACTGAGTCAAATTTATAACAATTCAAGTCATTCTTTAATTAATAAATGGTCAGAGGATATGAATGGGCAGTTTTTGGGTGAAGAAATCAAAGCTGTCTATAGTCATATAAAAATGCTCTAAATTGCTATTGATTAGAGAAATGCAAATTAAATAACTCTGAGGTACCACCTCACACCTATCAGATTGGCTAATATGACAGAAAAGGAAAATGATAAATTCTGGAGGGGATATGGGAAAATTGGAACACTAATGC